GCAGGCTGCCACAGTCCTTATAGCAGTGGCTTCTGTTGCTGCTGCACCACAACACAATTCTTTTCCTATAGCAGTGGTCCTTCCATAGCAAGCTCTATCTGGAATCTCCTTATATGAAGCTTGTCACAACTCTGTTGCAACTACTTATTTTAATTTCATGAGTTTGTGAGATTGCCAAGCCGGTCTGCATATACATGGAGAATAAAACAACTTGTGCCATGCTTAATTTACAGCTGTCATCTCTTAATTTCTAAATTCCATGATGCTATCAAGCTGAATACTCTCAGTTTGTTCTTGCAAGATCCATTCTTTGCCTGCCCAACCCTCTGTTTTGCAGGTGACACACCACCCACTCGCTCTCCGCCAAGCTCCAGCGCTGCCTGTGGCTTGTGGTCCCAGTACTGTGCAGGCAATTAGACATTTCTTCACCTGTCTTCCATCCTTATTTTCTGTTATACCTATTTATTGTTTCTGTTGCAGTAATGCCTAAGGACGCCAAGTAGGAAATGGGATTTCGTCTTTAAAAAAATTGTGAAACAAGCACAACCCCAAGGAACTCGCAGTCTGGGGCTTAAACACACTGTGTCTTGTGAATACATAAATGAGGTTTGTGAGAGCAACACAAAAGGGCAGGGCGATGCTAAATCTGCCCACTGACCTACCTCTACTATTAGCTGTCAGCAGGCTCTGCAGGAAAACGGAAACTTTCCTGACCTCATTGGAACTAATTTCATCAGAGCATTTTCCCAGAGGTGGAGAACTTAAAATTGATTTAATCTGGAATGTGCCAGGGTTTCGATGCTCACTATTTAAACATGTGAGCTAATTTTTTGTCTTATCTAGAGCAGACTGGCACAGCTGCTGACAGGAGGCTGCCTTGCCACCGCAGATACTGTGTGTGTGGGATTGCTGCCTTTTGGTACCTTCTGCAAATGAAGTCTGAACCCAAAATTGACAGCGTGGTGATGATGGGGGAAGGGTGAAGGACAGAGGAAAGATGAGGATACTGTTGGGAGGGATATTATGAAAAGCCCATCATGTTGGGTAACTGTATCCTAAAGGCAAGATTGGTATTGTGCAACTCTGACGCATTCAAGTCTGAACAGCTGGTTCTGGTGAGAGGCAGCAGAAATGAATTTCCCGTGCAGCTTTTGTATTAATAATTCATCTCATTAAGGTGTGGTCTAACAACACTAGCACAGGCCCCTGAATCAGCCCTGATACTGGTTCTGACAACCATTTCTTCTATGGACACCTCCAATTCTCATTTTCTTCTTGCCCCAATTTCCCCATGAAAAAATGAGAAGAACTGTGCTTCCTTTGGCTCAAACTGTAAGATAGTTGGCCTAATGTGCTCTTCCTTGGAGACTTTTTTAGTCTTTCCCATTAGCATGGAGAACGCACAACACTGTTATCTTGATCTAGTAGAATTTGGGATTCTATCAAGACATCAGTGAGTCAGGCCCAAGTATCAGGCTTAGAAACACACATTTCTGATCCATGGCACAGAGTCCCCTGCAGGGACTGGTTGCACACTGGAAGGTGTTTAATAGCCCAGAGCCACAGCAAGACCTCATCCTTCTCAGACTTGGGTTATAACCTTCCCAATACTGTGCAGGTTTGAATAGCGTTATCACAAATCATCAAAATGAATTACATTATTGTAAACACAACTGTCTGATCTATTTTTTTTCTCTCCTCCATTATTTACATCCTTTCTGTAAATACCTGAAGGGACTTCCAATCAGCAGGGTAAATTTACAGGATTTTGCTGTAAAAAGCTGATTCCAACTTTCAGTTAACAAACAAATTCTTAAAACTCTGTGGCATAGAAGGCAAATTCATCCTAGACAAACCCATGTTCTTGAGCCATGTGTCTGTTACGATCCCTCTTGGGGAGGATTTATTCAGAGATGTATTTCAGCCTTCTTCATTTTCTTCTAGTCTAGCAGCAGCAATTTATGTGTGTTACACAGCTTCATGCAATGTATACATTTATATCAAAACATTTATCTTGGTATAACCATCTTAGTGCAGACTACAGTTGCACTACTGCAAGCTACCTCAATATTTAGGTCCTGAAGAAAGAAAAACAAGTGTATGTGTATCAGCACATTTTTGTTACATAGCACAAACACACTGAGCTGCAAAGAGAAGAGAATGACTGCTTTGTTACAGTTTTGTACTGTTTTGTTAGCAGTGGTGCAGTGATACAGTGCAGTTTTTGTGCACAGAAAGCACTAGTTCATGAAGAAATTATTTCTTCATTGAATGTGATTGTACAGCTGGCAACTCTGTTCCCACTGAATCTTCTTCTCAGCTCCAGATACGATCCCTTAGTCATGTTTCTTTCCATTGTATTTTCTCTTCTCCGGTTCATTTAGTTTCTGGAAGGTAGATAGGAAAGATCCATCTCATTTTTTCTTGCTCTGGAGGTTCCCAGTGCTTCCTAAGCTCCAGGAACAACCCTGCAGAGCCATCACTTGGCTTTGACTCCAGAGATCCCTCTTCCTTCTCCACCCCATCCCTTCTGTTTTCTCTACCACTCTCTCTCCAGAGTTGTCTATGCTAAACCAGCTTGTTTCCTTTCCTTATCTGCTGCTTCTCTGATTATGCAAACATGATCTTGCACTCCCTTCTTCCTTGTCAACTCTGAATGTACCTTCCCTCGTCCCATATGAGCCAAGAAACATTTTTCTGTAGCAGTTTGTTTTCAACATTTACTGGAACCAAAGGCCCCATGGTACCTTCCTGCCTCTCACTTTAGAATGGCTTAACACCTTCCTCTGTGCTTTATCAAAAATCTCCGTGAGTGATGAGAAGAAAATAGAAAGCATTTGAGATGTCTTTGATAAGCTTAACTACTTCCAAAGACCTGCAGTTTGAAATAAGGAAGCCAGAGAAGAAAAACCTACTTCAAAAAAATCCATCAAAATCAAGTTCCAACAGTTTCTGGTTCAGTTTAGCATGGGGAGAAGATCTTTGAAAGGCTGGCTGCAGAAAAGCTTAAGTTTTGTGAAACCCTGAGGCATCACATGATATAAATAAAAACAGAGGTTTGACTTTGCCAAGAATAAACCTGGAAGCACTGTGTTCTTCGAATTTAAAGAGCTTAATGTTCATAAAAATAGAGTGATTACTGCTAAAGAATGAATATTGCTGACTTGATTTCAGTCAGCAACATCAGTTGAAACCCAGTTTCACGAGAGTTCAGTCACCCTTCTTGTGTCAGATGATGATGGAATACCGCTAATTGTTGGGTCATAGAGCTTATAGAGTTATGACAGACTCAGGCAAGTAAAAACTTATAGAGAAAATCTGTGACCACTTACACGAGGAGCAAAAATCTCTTCATTTTTTTCCCCACTGCCATGTAAATGTGAAGAAAAAAATTACTCATTAGAATGCATATTTTCTGTAGGGTTTGCATACATATTTAGGCTCCACAGTGTGTCTTTCCAAAATTATGGAATACATTGTGGGTGGTATGTAGTTAGTTTACTTATCATACAAATTCAAGAAGACAATATTCATTAATAAGTTTATATCCTAACCATTTCCACTACTTAGGAGAAGAAGCACCAGAGAACATGACAGCTATATTCTGAAAGTGAGGCTGTTATCTGATATGGTTTTCATAGAATCATAGAATTGCAGAATGGCCTGGGTTGCAAAGTTCCACAATGCTCATCCAGTTTCAACCTCCTGCTATGTGCAGGGTCACCAACCAGCAAACCAGGCAGCCCAGAGCCACATCCAGCCTGGCCTTGAATGCCTCCAGGGATGGGGCATCCACAGCCTCCTTGGGCAGCCTGTTCCAGTGTGTCACCACCTTCTGTGTGAAAAACTTCCTACTAATATCTAACCTAAACCTCCGTTGTCCCAGTTTGAAACCATTTCCCCTTGTCCTATCACTATCCATCCCTGTAAACGGACATTCCTCCTCCTGTTCCCTCAACCAATCCCTGTTTCCTCAATCTTTCCTCATAGGAGAGGTGCTCCAGCCCTCTGATTATCTTAGTGGCCCTCCTCTGGACCCACTCCAAGAGCTCCATGTCCTTCTTGTACTGCGGGCCCCAGGCCTGGAAACAGTACTGCAGTTGGGCCTCACAAGAGCTGAGTAGAGGGGGACGATCACCTTCCTCTTCCTGCTGGCCACCCCTTCTTTAATGCAGCCCAGAACACAGTTGGCCTTCCGGGCTGCAAGTGCACACTGCTGGCTCACGTCCAGCTTCTCATCCACCAGGACCATCAAGTCCGTTTTTTTTTTTGTACAATTAAATCTTAAATAAAAACAAAACAATATCAAAATATTATGAGATAGATCCTCATGGTTGTGAAATGTCAGGACAAACTTCTCTAACTTTCTATTATTTCCATTGGTTCTTCTCAGAACTAAATGGTACTTTCAGCAGGTCAAAGAAGATACTGTTAACCCCCTTACAATGGCCCTAGCTCCTAAACTTCTGTTTGAGCTTGCTTAGTGAGCACTAGAAAACTGTCATAGTTGAAATACTTAAAGTGAAGGCTCCACTATTTTAAGTGGACTTGCGGTACTCTAATTAGGCCATTTCATAATCAGCTGGTACAGTGCTGACATGGCCTAGACAAGTAGTCCACAGGCATGACACAGTTCAAGACAGGTCTCGGACACGTAGATGGGATCTGCTTGCGATTAGTGTGGCAGATTGCACTGCAGTCTATTGAGATGCTCATTGAGGTCGTGTACAGCTCACGATTTTAAGCTCTATAATTTCCAATGCTTGCTTGAGGAACTCTGTGAGGAGATTCAGCATGTGGGCAGAGCGTGTGCGCGCGTGCGCCTGTGTTTGTCAGTCATAGCCCTTGCCCTTCCAAATGCAGATCTTTCTTTGGTTGCCCCAGTGAATGGCACGTGGCACTGAGTCATGTGGCAGGAGAATGGAGGGGGTGAAAGTGCACCAGCTGTGACAGTGCTGCTGCCAGGGAAGGCAGTCCCTTGCTGTCCTCTGAGCAAGGATCACAGACAGAAACTCTCCTGCTACTCCCTGGCACTGCAGTTTGTGCCTTTTATGAGAACAGCTGATCTGGAAGTGAACAGATGTGCAGGTCCTATTGTGGGCACGGCAAGGGGAACCAGGAAATGGGACTTCCACAGCTCTTTCTTTTGCTTCGAGATTTCGTAAGTCTGTAAGTGTTATGATACAGCTTTATTAAAGATAAATCAGACATTGGTGATACTTACACAGTGAGGGACTGATCGTGCCTTACTTATTGAAGTTAATCCTTCAGTGAGGTGAATAGGGTGCTGGAGAGCAGAAAGCATCTACATTTTAAGAAATAAAAAGCGGGAGAATTGTAATTTTCCTGAGTCAGTAAACATTATAGCACAATACTTTTTTACATTGAAAGAATGAGGAAAAGCCAAAATAAAGCACTTCATTTTAACAAAAGGCTTGTGCGTGTTCTGGAGATGGGGGTACAGAGAAAATGTGTCACACAAGGGATAGAAGCTATGTCTTTTTCCTGCTTTCCATCTGGATGGACAAAGAGGAGGCAACTCACATGAAACATGGCGAGAAGCTACATGTACTTTGCTGTGTCAGTTTCAGAGGAGCGTTGCACTGGGTTGAAGTATTTAAGATAGAAAACATGCCTATGATACAGTAGGACCAAAATAAACATAATTGAGAAACATTTACTCCCCAAACTACTTCCTACAGCCACCTTATCACTTTCTCTTTAATCGCAACGTGGACAACAAATCCTCGCCATGAGGGTAAATCCTTTACAGTTCAGATGCAGACACTGACCCACCTGTAGTAACGTTAAGCTTAGGAGGAACTCTGCCAGACTCAGCTTGCTTAATTCGTTTCCAATGCAGATCACAGAGGAAGGGATGCGGTCAGGCAGATAAGCGACCAGGGACACGCGAGAGCTCACACGTGTGCTCATGCTCAGGGTGAGGCCGCCGTGCTGGGGCCCACCCAGCAGGAGATGCTGCCCAAGTGCAAATGCGGCTTTAATGCCTTCGTTACATTAGCGCCGCGTCAGCAGAAAAGAAGCATCGGATACATTTGGATAAGAAAGTATCCACTTTACTGAAGCTGCGAGAGCCAAAGCATAATAACCTTCGTGCTTGCCGTGTTTGCTTAAGCGTTATTTTTAGCTGGATTTGTAAATGCGATGTAAATAATCGCTGATAGCCCAACGACGCTGCACGCCAGGACGGGCCGCAGCGGCTCTGCAGCAGCTCAGCACCCCGCCCGGCTGAGCAGCCCTCGCCGCAACGCCCGGCCGCTCGCACGGCGAGCTCGTGGGCATCTCGTTACGATTCCCCAAACGGATGGAAAACCCTCCCGAGGAATGCGGATCGTTTGGGGGCAAAATAGCCGGGCTCGTTTCCCGGCTATTCGCATCGGGAATGAACGCTGCCCGCCCACCCGGCTCACAACCGAACGCCGGGCGCTCGGTGAAGGCGGCGGCAGCAGCGTCGGGCTCCGGCAGCGTCGGGCTCGGGCGGCGGCAGCCCCGCGGCCGGCGGGCACGAGGCTCCTGAGGGGCGGGCAGGCGGGAAGGAGGCAGCGGGGGGCGAGCGCCGCGCGCTCCCGTCGGGCCGCGTGCCCGCGCCGTGCCTACCGCCGGCCCGGGGCGGGGCCGTGACGCATTGCGGCTGGAGCGGGCCCGGGGCTGGGGCCGGCGCCCGGGGCTCGTCCCCCCGGCCGGCGGACCGCAAGAGCGAGCGACGGCGCGACGGCGCTCCCCGCCCAGGGACTGGCGGGGCCGCAGCGGGGCGGGGGCAGAGGAGCGGCGGTCCCGCCCCGAGCTCCGCGGCTCTACCTTAGCCGTTCCGGCACCTAAAATGGCTGGAGCGCGGCGCTGCGGGAGGTGAGCGGAGTCGCGGCCGCCGCCCTCAGCTCCTCCCGCTCGGCCCCGCTTGCGGCGCTGCCCGCCACCCGGCAGCATGTCGGCCGGCCAGGACGAGAGCTCGGTGCGGGTGGCCGTCAGGTAAGCGGCGGCTGCAGGTGGGGGAGCGGGGCGGCCCTCCGCGGAGCTGCGTCCGCCCAGAGGGAGCGCGCCGCCGCTGGGAGCTCCGCGCGGGGCCTCATTCTGACTTCTTTTTTTCCCTCGGAAGCGGCGGAGAGGTGGAAAAACGCTTCCCGAGGCCGCCTTGCTCGTCGAGTCGTTCTCGGTCTCGCGCTTTCAGCCGTATCACCGCAAAGCTCCCGCTAATGACGGCCCCACAGCCGCTCCTGCGCTCCGCGGTGCGAACCGCGCGGCTGCTTGCAGCAAACGGCAGTTTGTGTAGGAGCCGTGCTGGGAACGGAGCTTCAATCGTTCGGGAACATCAGCTCATTCAAATTACGCTTTTTTTTAATCGGAGATAAAAATCTGGTGTTCGGCAGCGAGCTCCTGGCTCTTCTCGGTTTTCTACGTGAAGATGTTACGTTTGAAGAACTTCCAGATTAGCCTACGGATGTCTTAAGTTTCAGGATGCCTTTACATAATTCAAATATAAGAGGAAATAGACCTGCACGCACGCACACGTACAGCAGAATGCACGTGTTTGGGTTGGGGTCGTGGTACTGAATGGGGATTGTGGGTTTTTTTCCCCTCTAAAGAAGGTTCTCTGCGTTACTTGCTGCTGCTCTGGTGGCACACGCGGTCAGACCTCGGGCAAGGTCTGTCTCTCCATTTGGGCTTTGCAGCCTCCGCATGCGCTTCACCTTATGCCTAATTCAGGGACTGCACAGGAAGACAAAGCAGGTGGATAGCTGTGCTAAACAGGGCGTAGGAATAAGCCGTGCTGCCGAGAGCTGCTGCTGGTGGGTGTGTTGGGGGGAACAGCTCAATAACATTTTTGGTAAACAGGCACCGCCCCTGTGTGATAACAAGGGATGTACGCTGCAGTTGTGCTGCCCGTGCAGAGAGATGCTTCTGCGGGAGTGGTTTTCTGCCCGAGCCTTTTTCACACAGAGTACAGGGAGGTATTATTCTAAAGCACGATTAGGCTGTGTATTTAAAGAGGAAAATATGAGATAGGTGTGATCCCCAAAATAGAGCATGTTGCAGGTTACCAGACTGCTCTGTCATTTGAAGAAAATATTAAATATCCTTCAAGCCAAGGCAAATAGCGGTGTAGGAGTTCATTTAAAATATAAAGGGCTGTTACTGGGAATTGACTAAAAGCTGCTGGTGCAGATATGTCCGTGGTTGTAGACGTGTTATGATAAATAGATTAGAAATAATCTATGGCAAAGGGTTGATAAAAGTGAATGAGCATGGCTCAGCTGCATTGCGATGGATCACGGTAGCTCTTGAAAACAAATCCCAAATGTTACAAGGCATGTTTCTGTAGCATAATTGGACAACTGAGGTCCTGCAGCTGAGTACAGCTTGCTAGGAATGAGGGATTGCATCTTTGCTCCCATCTGCCTGCTTTGTCAGATTAACTGTTCACATGCAGTTAATCATTTCTCCTTCTCGGTTTAGAAGCCAGGATCAAACTCTTGCACAACTGCTTTTTCCTTGCCAGTAACTTCTCTGTTATTTCTGTTTGTGTATTCTGTGTAGTGCTGTAGTGCTCTGAGCTGCAAGACCAGTTGCATCAGCACAGTGCTGTGCTGATGAAAGCTACTGAATTCTGTTTCCTTCTTTTGGTTCTTCAGTCCTTTTGGGGGACTTGAGCTTAGTTCAGCATTGGTCTCTGCTGTTACAATGATTTAGTCTGTTTTTACATGTATGTTTTATGAACAGGGCTTGCCCAACAGGAGCCCTGGCTTTTAGGTTGCAACCCACATAGTAGTAACTCGACTGAGATGTTCCAAAGGCATTTTGCCCTGAGCTTTCTGAAGAGCTGCGTTAGCTTGAGCCTTAATCAGAGTTGTAGGATAGACATTACTGAAATGATTTAGCAAATTGTTTTGTTGTTTCTTTTTTTTCCAAAACCTAGTTATTTCACCCAATGGTAGACAACACTATTCAAAAATACTTCTTTCTTTCCAACCAGCACCACCTTAAAGCTATCATTTTGTATGTTAATTGCTCCCCATTTTCTTTAGTGTAGTAATGGGTTTGTGAGCACTGAGCTAAATACTGTTTAGTGAAGCATGAAAGCTGAAAAGAATTTGGCAGGTAATCCAGTAACTAAGGTTAAATTCCCCACTTAAGAAAAAAAAATTCTTTCCGTATTGCAGCCTCCACTGAAAGAGTTGTGGACTCGCTATTTTGGTAATAGTGTGCAACTTCAACAGAGAGCTTTGCTCTGTATTCCTCTGCGTGCCTGTGTGTAGTGCCTGTTTTCAGATGAAATCAGGGAGGCCTCGTGATGGCTATCTGAGCTCTTTTTTCTTTTACATGTGAAAAGCTACTCTTTTTGTCAAGCTGAAATTACCGCCTTCCTTCTGTCAATGTCTTTTCAACAGATGAAGATTCACTTTTGTTGAGGAAGCTCTGAAGTGCTGCAGGCCATCAGGCAGGTAGTTCTGGAATCAAGTTCACAGAAGGATGTCAGTTAGAGTTTCAAATTTTTGGGTATTTGCCATGTTAGCCACGATGTAGTGTAACTCAGGCTTCTTATGGGTTGGGTAGATGAGGTTCTCACCAACTGCTGCGATCCTCTCTAGCCACAGTATGTGTTGGTGTGGAACTTAGTTATTGTGTGAGCTGTCTGGGGCTTGGGACTTGAAATGTCTCCAACAGGGGAGGTGGCAGTGCCTGTCCTCACTCTGTATGGGCATCCTAGGGCTCGGAGCACCTGGTCTATTGCGTGGTGTCCTTGCCTAAAACAGCAGGGTTGGAATGAGATGATCTTAAAGGCCCCTCCCAACCCATTCTGTGATTTTACCAAGGCTGATCTGAGCATACAGAAAGGTTGGAGTTAGCTCCTTTGCCTTTTTGACACAAGTTAAACAAGGGAACTCTTGAAGAGAGTAGTAATGGATGGATGGAGTTCATCAGAAGGCTTGCTTGGGGGACTTGCCTCTGCTGAAGCATAAAACAGTGTCTGTTACATGTATCCTGTTATAGAGAAGACAACAGAATTGTGCAAAATGGAAGTGTCTGTCTTCTAGTGCTCCATAAGAGAAGGATGGCTTTAATTCATGCTGAGTCACTGAGAGTCCCAGACACAAAGATGATAAGCTTCAGCGCTGATTGGTAATGCAGCCTTTTAAGATGCTGTATGAGAA